ATCAGTACGGGCGTAGGACTTTTCATGGTATTATTAATATCTGTCGCTGTCTTACCCAGATGGACTCCTGCACCTCCCTCCATCAAGCCTATTGACATTGACATTGTACAGAATCCAACCCAACAAAAGGTTACGTATTCCAAGATCTTTCTAATGGTTACTTTGATGCCTACGCTGATGCCAATGGTGATATTAACACCAATGAGCGTCTAACAGCCAAAAAACGACGCATTGAAATGGCTGTATCTCTGACGTTTACTAAACATTCACCAATTACTAATATTGTACAAAACTCCCATTCGCCTCCTTATACAATTATTGAATCTGAATGTACGTCAGATTTAATTTCTTCTTTATCTACGAATAATTGCATAGAATCTCCAACATTCACTACCCAGGAGTCAGACCAAAATGAAATTATTTCGACAAATAAGTCACAAAAAAAAAACAAGGCGAAGAAACGCAGGACTAGGGATACCGATGTGGTCTAAAAAAAGAAAGGAAGAAAAAAGTATAATCAAAATGAACCTTCCAATTATCGTAAATGCAGCTAATTTTCAGAAAAGACACCCTAAAATTCACACGCAGGCTGTCGTTGATTATCAGCGGAAACTCCCTGAAGTACTTAAGCAGCCTGCAAGTAAATATCGGCGCAAACACCTTGAAGTGTGCAGAGTATCACAGTTACAATATGAACGAAATCATGAAGGACAGCGAGTTGAAAGACGTTTACAACCTTGGAATTCTATAGTCTTTTCTGGACTGAGTTATGATAGTAACATAGCTTACGATAGTGATAATACTGTTGTTTTGTGACCGATGAACATCGAATGTAAGTGGTCTGAAATTCTCAAGTACAAGAATGAATCTGTGGGAATGTGCTGCGATTAAGGAAAGGTCCAGTACGAACCTTTACAAAGCTTCCAGATCTTCTTTACTGTTTGATAAAATACCTCCACCCTGATCGCATTCACTTCGTGACTGGAATACGGCATTATAATAGAGGTTTTCAAATGGCCTCATTTGGAGCTATAACGATAATACAGGATGGTTTTATGCCTACATTCAAAGTGCAGGGCCAGGTGTATCATTTGGTTGGAAGTTTGCTTCCGCCACCCCAGAATGAACCACAGTTCTTACAGATATATTTTGTTGGTGAGTACGATAGAAAAGTTCAATTGAGATGCGTAACGCGAATAATTTGTGTTATGTAAAATTGGCTTGGTAAGGCAATTACTAGAAATTCTACATACTCATAATGTATACGTAAGAGAGTTAAAGCTACCCCTGGACAAAGTATCTGCTACGCCAAATACATTTAAAGTTGTTATAAATGCTGAAGGAAAGCCTACAAATGGCCACATTGTACGGTATAATCCATAGAATACTATAATAATTGTGTACAGTGTATACTTATGTATTATAGTATTCTGTGGTATAATCAACTTACGTCAAATGAAGTTACATTAGTTATTATTGGATTGCAATTTTCTAATCGGGATATTGTAATTGAGAGCCATGATAACACACTGCATCGAATAAGTGAAATCCATCGCTCATACGATGCATTACAGTACTCTCTTTTGTATTTGCTAAGGCGAGGATGTATACTCCATTTATATACCTCAGTGCGATCCTAAGACCAAACAACTGCTTACAAAAATGGTATCTGCTGCTAATTTTTATTCTTACCGTATAATGATTAGAAAAAGAGAAGATAATCATCTGCCGTATTTTCGTTTACTGTGTAGCCAGTTTTTAGTTGACATGTTTGCGAAAATCGAGATGTAAAAATTGAGTTATGTCAGGAATATACGATACGATAGGACGACGAGAACGACACAGGACGTTGATGTTAATCAGCTGGGTCAAAAGGTGGTGCTGCCTTCTTCTTTTACTGGGGGGCTACGCTATATGCATATGCTGACACAAGATGCCATGACAAGTGTGCGCAACTACGGTTGACCCGATCTCTTTATAATATTTACTTTAAATCCTCGATGGGATGAAATCACGGAGATTCTTTTGCCTGGGCAAAAAGTTATGATAGACACGACATAATATACATAGTTTTTTACCTAAAAGTTAAGAAAATAATGGAACTTCTAACCAAAAGAAAAATAATTGGAGAGGTACGTTGTTTCATGTCCTCTACCGAATGGCAGAAACGGTGTTTGCCTCAAACACACATATTGTTGTGGATGGTTAATCGCATTTCGCTTGACGTGGTGGATGAACTTATATTTGCTGAGATACCAAATCTAAACAAAGGTCCTATTGTATACGACATAATTAAAACAATATGATACACGGTCCATGTGGGAACCTTAATAATATTTCTCCCTGTATGAAAGATAATAACAAAACAGACAATTCTTGAGATATACTCAAACAAATGATGATGGTTGCATACAGTACAGAAGACGACCTCCGGATTACGGTGGTACACTTAAATTAAAAAACATTGAAGTAAACAATAAGTGGGTGGTCCCCTATAATAAGGTTTTGTCACGGACTTTAAGGATATTAATGTAGAAATCAATTCTTTTAAATCGATAAAGTACATTTGTAAGTACATTAATTTATTTTTAATTTAATAAGGGCAATGATCAGGCGGCTTCGAGCTAGAAAACAAAAAGGACGAAGTCAAAATATGCATTTATATTGCATTACTTGAGCATTATGTGAGTAGTTCGGAGGCAATTTGGAGGGTTTGAGGGTTTTCCACACATGAAAGGTTTACCGCCGTTATATATATATATATATATATATATATATATATATATATATATATATATATATAGATAATGGTCAACGAGTCTATTTTAATTCCGACAACCTCGCCGACAAAGTTTATTTTATGTCACATAGGTGATTTTGCTAAAACCCTTAGTACATGTGGAAATGTCATCATATTTTGTATAGAAAAAATAAATTTGGGAGAAGGAAAGGAGAAAAACCCGTAGATGGCTAGCCGGGAATTATGAAAAAATACGCTCTATGTAGAGTGTACACGGTTCGCCCAAATAACACATTATAATATATAATAACACATGGGGTAATAACGCATTTGCATTTTGGTTCTTCATTGAGGATAAATGTAGATGTTCATGTGCTACAGCATCCTTTTTACCAACAGGTGGGCTATGTGCTCTCCCGATGCTATAAAAAGGGTTTAATTGTGCGTTACGACGAATTATATCGTCGCACGGCATTTGTATTATGGTCACGGATTTTAAAGGTGAGGAGATAAACAAACTCTACACTACAGGCAACATTTGGTCACTGTGATTGAGGCTCATAACCATCTGAGCATACATTATTTAGTAAAAGCAAATTTCACTTTTTCTTGAACACAATAGAGAACTCGATCTAAGGAGATTTTTTGTAATTCGCTTTAATTTTAACTCTGATATCGTCCAGGCTAGCTAAGCAATTTTGCCAATTTTTTATTTGACGATAGAGTATACTTTGAAAGTGGTTCCTTAAAAGTTTCAATAAATTTCAGAGTTAAAATTAAAAATTTATCTTATCGGACAGAAACCAGTGTATATTGATTTTAAAACAACCTAATCATAACACATGCAGTATTGAAGAACATTCAAAACGATGAATAATGCTACTCTGCACAAAAAATATATTTAATTTTAGAAAAGTCTTTAATTTTCAACATAATATATGTATATATATACAATTTTAGTTTACTTCAACATTAGCTTAAAACCAAATTAAGTCATGTTCAACCTTAATGCAAGGTTTGAGTAATTAAAACCTTAGCCTATTAAAAAACTCTTAGTTAAAATATAAATAAAAATATATACAAATATTTTTGGTCAATATGTGATTCACTGCAATAGTTAACATATAAAAAAATAATTAAATAGGTAAATATACAATTTTTTAAACTCTAAATGTAAAAAATATTTTTTTCAAACAGACAATTCAATCCTAAATAATACGAAATTTGAAAATATATAATATTTTTGTTTATTTTATTTTGATATTATTACCTTAACGGTACATGGTCTAAAGCTACAATCTAAGTTATTTTAAGTTTCAATTAACTTAAACTTCTGACATTAATCTGATTAAGCCGTTTTTGTTCCGTAAATCAACTTTGTTTACATATGATTATAACAATTACTATCACATTTGAACGAATTTAAACAAAACTTTACTAATTATTTTCAATAAAACACTAAAAATGGTTGTTGAAATGAGTACTGCTGGAATTACCGTTAACAGTAAATGTCTGCCTCTTAGTACATTAAATCCTTAAGAAAATCAAATAAAAAGGCTCGTTGATTGCACTATCTCATTTTTTATAAAAACTTCTTTAATAATATAAATAAGTATTTTTCATAAATTTGTATTATTATTATTGGGGGTTATTGATAGAGTAATCACATCTGGTTGGGCTGGATAAATACATAAAAGGAATAAATAAATAAATTTACATAAATATATATTATTATTATTATGGGGTATCTATATAATTTTCTCATCTGGTAAATGCATAATTGCGAACGAAAATGATAAATATAAATAAATAACAATAAAATAAAATAAATACATAAAAAATACATAAATAAATAAAGATCCAACCAGATGGATGCCCTCGGCAGGGAAGACCAAACGGCCGAGGGTTAGGGGGAAAGGGAAAGAAACCGGTTATTATTATTATTATTATAACCACTTAGCGTTCAAATTTTAAAACGAGAACATATTGCAAAAACTTTTATAATAAATACCTACTAAATATAATTTATAAATAATAATGCTTACTACACCTGAAGCCTTGTTTTGGCAAATTGGCATTTCAAATGTTGTGAGAACTATTTTATTTCGTAATTACTGTCATTTCGTAAGCAAGCTAGTACGAAATATTTGTAGATTTTTATAGATAAAACATAGATCCTTTTTTTGTTTGTTATCTCCAGCAGTGCCCGCTATAAAACATAATCACACACAACCTAAATACCTTAACAACATCATAAAAATTAAGGAAATAGTTCTTTATATGTAAACTTAGATGTAATTTTATTTGCCATTTCTGTAAATAGTTCTCCAAGGCTGCGTTCCAGGACCGGACTTATTTCTTGTAGAAAGACTTGAGAGTTTTCGTTAATTACCCTGTTCGTGGCGGGGCCTAATACTGGATCACCGTCGAAGAGGTTAGTTAAGTAAATTGATGATTCCCCCACATGAAGTTTGACCTTAAATGGATCAAATGTCAAATATTCATCACCCCCGCGTTTTTCTTTATGCCCTCTCATGGTAACGTTACATGCGTAGTCCTCTGGAATGAATAAATTCAAGTTATTTAAAAATTATTTTACGTTTTAATTTTGTTTAAAAAAACCATTGCCATTGCAATAAATTACCGTGTGGTGGCAATGTATGAAAATCCATTATCCAATTTTGACCCATAAGGCAACTTTAGAATGCCAAGTAGGTCTCGTGGTCATCGAAATTAGTATAATCGTCTCTTGATACCCGTTATGAAATTCACAGACCAGTGGCGGCCAAAAGATTCAAAGATCCGAGTCATTAATTACCGAGGATACTAAATTGCCCGCCAAAAGTTAGAATTTAAACAAATCCTTTATTTCGTCTTACAGGGGAAAAATCTCTGGACTTTTCTAAATTAGCTTCTGCGTACTTGATATAGATTTACCCGGCATTACCTAAGTTAAATTTACGATAGATACAGATTTTTGGCAAGATTAACTGATCGGTATGAATCACTTCCAATGAATATATTTTAACCATCTCTTAATTGATAGTATTATCGCAACCAATTTGACCTAGAAGATGGCAGTATCTTCCTGGAACTTTAGAATAAAAAACATAATGTTAAAAATTCAGATTTGTGATATGGTGATTTTATAACTGCTACGCGTGAGCTTGTTGCGGAGGCGCTGGTCAAGTGGCGTTCTTTTGCCGAAGAAATTTGGGTATCGTTAACTTGCATTGCAGACCAAAAACGACATATAAATTGCATACGTACGTGTAAGGTGCAATCGTGAAGTGACGGTAAAAGAATATCCACTACCCCAAATCATCCAGTGGGTATCGTAAAGAGATCGGATGATGGGCACCAGCGTCTTCTTAATAACAATTAAAAAACTGCGGTTGCCAACCCACTTGCCAAGCATTGCAAATATGGTAAATGTACCCTTTTTTTTTTGTTTTTTTTTTTTTGCGGATGGAAAATCATCTAATGACGCCTTTCGCTCTGGGTGGAGCGTAAGGGAGTGTCAGACTTTTACTGACTAAAAACCATCCGTGTTCCTTCAGTGCCCTTACGTTCCGGAGCCGCGGTATCGGGTCGGTTTTAAAAGTAACTGTAACGGTAACGGTACAGTCTATTTATGTAAACATAAACTAGGTAACTTAACTGCACAGTAAACTTGAATTCATACGAAATTATATGACATAGTAATGAATAAATTTACTGGTACTTTTATTGTACTCGAAGATTTTGATATGCCAAATATAAATTTGGTTCTGGACGATGATGAATACTCGCTTTGTCCAAAAAATATAGAATCAGTTAAAATACCGGGTATAAGAAAAATGGCAATTAGTCACATTAGAAATCCTTTTAGATTTCTTTTTGTAATCGCGCCAATCAATATAAAGTATCAATCAAGTTAAATATTCAACTATTATATAGCAAAGATAAAAAATAGCATAAATCAATCGCCAAGGGCCTTCTGGTCCTTCGTGGAACGTAGAAAAGCATCATAGCATAGTAATTTTATATTTAGGTATTTATTGCGACATATTCCCATATAAGTTATTGTAATTTTGCTTTGTCTTAATTTTTACAGTATTTTGAAATGCTGTATCACTTATAAAAGTAAACACATCAGTCCCTAGATTAAGCCTACATTCAATGAAAATGTAGTGATGTGTGAAAAAGTTATCAAATTGTTCATAACTATTTCATAATATGTGAAGTAAACAAAAACAGACCGCTTACGTTACGAGTAAGTAAAACTCAAGAGTTGGTTACCCAGTACTACGTAACACGAAGCCGTTCCGTCACCGATTAACACACATACCGTCACCTACTAATGCGCAGCGGTTAGGTATGCCGTGTGTTTGCTGTTTTCTTTTCAATACTTTTTCGATGACCAGTATTTGTCACATATTATGCTATTTATATGATTGCCTCTATGCTCGGCTCAAAATCACCTGCATCCATAAACTTCGTGCAGGACTTATCACATCAGGTCGTTACTTCATCTTGTATTATTTTTTTCCTCAATTACACTTGTCAATACGAGGCTGTTTGGCAATTTTTCTTCCCCATCGGATCGAGTCTACGAGCTATTCATACGGCTGGCACATTGTTCTCATATTTTTACCGACTTCAAAAAGGAGGTATTCAATTCGACTGTATGTTTTTTTTGTGTATTACTTCATAACTTTTCATTGGCTTAACCGTTTATAATGATTCTTTTTTTATCTGAAAGCTGGTACTTCTCGTGAGGTCTCATAAATGTAATCAAGATCTGACCAGTAGCTTTTGAGTTTTCATTAATAATGCGTATTTAATTGACTTCGAATACTTTGATTCGGTCGTATTGAAAGGTCGGTTACACAATTTTTTTAATTTTACCACTTGTTTGATGTCAGTTAATCTTGACGTAATAAATATCATAGACATTTTACTTTACAGTGTATTAATTATATTTAAATATTACTTTTAACAAAATATTAAAAGCCGACTTTAAAAAAGAACTTAAAAATATACTTTCACATTCTGAAGTCGTTGTTAAGATTGTAAAGCTCTGACTTCAGAATGTGAAATTATTTTATTCATTTAGTTTTTGGAAGTTGGCTTTTCCTTTTTGTTAAAAGTTATTTTAAGTTAAGTTTACCCTTTTGAATGGACTAAGGAATATCTCAATATCGCCTCAATAGTCACACTAAAAATTTCTCCCCCTCACATTAAAAATTTCACCCCTTTTTTCTCATTTTTATAATTACCTTTCAAAATTATTTTTTTTTACTTATTTCTTCTTCAAATTTATATGGGATGACCTCTGAATATAACCTATTTAATTAGATAAAATCTCTTCTACATCTGCAGTACATGCTTACCTTTACAGGTAAGTGCTACAACTTTAACAAATTCTTGTAATTCAATTGATGAAATATAAAATGTAATGAAATAAAAAATGTACCTATGCGTGAGCACGCACGCGCGTGCTCGTTTGCGTGCGCGCACGCTCGTTTGTGTGTGTGTGTGTGTGTGTGTGCGTTCGTGTGCGTGTGCGTGTGTATGCGTATATGTTTGCGAGCGCGTGTGTGTTGTGAGAGAGTAGGTAAGTCAGGTAAATTATTTTACAATCTGTTTAAGTATTTTTCTGTTTCGTCATAAGATTTGTTTTAAAAATCTGTGAACATACATAAAAATACATACAGTTTAATATAGAACCTATATAAAATATTTGCATTATGCGTGAGACATTTTTTTATTTTCATTTCTATTGACAACTAATTCGCTTGTGTTAGTACAGTCAATCTTCCTTTACATTTTTAATCGTACAGTTGGGTAAATTTGGGCCATTCTCATGTTTAAACGATAATTTTAACTCTAGTAGTTCATTTCATCAAAGTTTCTTTTGAAATTTCACTGACCAAGATCGGGGCTAAATTAATGTTATTATATTTAAATCTTCTAATATGTAATATTAATAACGAAATCGTTCTTTGTAACGCTGTTAAATTATAATTAGTGCTACTTACACATATTTAAGGTAACATTTTAGCAAAGTTTAATAAATCGAATAGCAACTGCTTGTTGAATAGACTCATATGACCGAGATGTCGAAATTGTGACATTAACTCGCAGCTAGATTTCATTTCACACCACAGGATTGCACCATTGATATTTAAATTGTTTTCTAATAAACTTCTTTATAAGAACCGATTTATCGATTGCAGCTAGATTAATATCTACCAATTATTTAGAGTCGTATTCATCAGTTTGTAATTAACACACCTGAACCCTAACAAAGTCCAGTAACTACTAATAATTTAAAAGAAAAACTACAAAAGATTCATCAAAATCAATCACTTAAACATTCGTAATTAAACTACGAATTTTATATTTTCCATGCAACATACTACTATTATTATATTTAGTGTATGTTCCAAAATACAACTTACACTGTTCAATGCAAATGACGTCATGAATCGACGCTATACTGGTGATTCGTTACAAAACATAGGACAGTGTATGACGTCATACATTTACGCCATATTGAAAAGTGTTGGCGATTATTTTTTCATTTTGTGCTCCAAAAATCATTATCCTCCTAATGGAGATACCAGCAATTATTCTATAATTTTTTGTATTTCAATAAATAAAAACAAATTCTGGCATGCTTCATTCCGCTCACACACAATTAAAAATTGTTTTATTGTGGCCGGATATCCGACGCAACATGGCGGCGGCACGCCAGTACAATATAGTGTCAATTGATGACGTCATTTGCATTTGCCAGTGTACTGGGCTGTATTTCGGAACATACCCTTAGTACAATAGTTACTATTGTAGTGGCGACATAAAAGTTTTCACAACACGATGTCATCCCGTGGGTGTCGCAAGAGGCGACTGAGATAAAATTAAACAGGACAAGGACAGCAACGTCTTCCTGGTAACAACTACATATAATAAAAATAATGATATTAATAGTTTTTGCAACCATCCGCTAAATAAAATAAAATGATGTGTCTTCCCTAGTTTGAAGAGCACCTTCCGCCCTCCCTCAGTTGCGTGCACTAATCCCGTCACCACCAATCCCAGCAACACTACTCCCAACGCCACTACTCCCAACACCACTATTCTATGAAAGACACATCATCGACTAATATTACTAATACATCGACGAAAATAAGTATCAATAACAATCACAACAATAAGACACATCGTTTTATTTTATTTAGCGGATGGTTGCAAAATAACTATTAATATCTTTATTATAATGGATTTCCGCAAAGTAACGCCTGATTCTATCAATTAAATAATAAAAAGTTATGGTTGCCAACCCGCTTTGTAAGCATGACAACTATGGCAAATGTGCCCCCTATGAGGGCTTTAAAATTGAACTTTAATGTAGTGGCATTTAGGTAGTTTGAATAAATATAAAATATACATGGTCCAAGATTCGTGATTAAAACTTTTTTTTTTACTTTCAATTGTTTGAGTAAGTTTTAAAAATTTTCGAATACGAGTATCGACGTGGAATGTAGCAGAGACAGCTCGCACTGTCAATTCTGCATTTGGAGTGGATACTACTAACGAATGCACTGTTGTTTTTGATTTAATCGCTTTTGTACTTGATATTTCCACATGAAAATTGAACCACGAGTAACATCAAACACTAAGATAAATCACAACTTATTGAAAGTTATGGTGGAAGCCGATTCTTATAAATCAACCAAGTTATTAGCGTTACCGTTTAATGTAAGTTTAACTGCAATATTAAATCATGTACACCAAATTGGATAAATATAGTACGTGAGGGTAATATAGTCATCCGGTTAATGTTGTCACTTGCTTAAAGTAAAGTAAAGTAAAGTTACAGCCTATATACGTCCCACTGCTGGGCTCAGGCCTCCCCCTCATTTCTGAGAGGGTTTAGGGCAAGGAAGTGTCCGCCGCGCTGCCCAAATGCGTGTTCACGAACTTCACATGTCTTCGAAATATTTTTTTTCTTATTCCTCAGACATGCAGGTTTCCTCACGATGTTTTCCTTCACCGCCGAGCACGTGGTAAATCAGCACTTAAAATTGCAATTAACAATTTCATTGGTGCCTGCGGGGATCGAACCCGGGTTACTCGCGTTCTGTTATATTTACAGCGAGCGTTAACCACTGAGCTACCACGGCCGTGATCGTCACTTGCTTGTAACCCAAAAATTACAGTCTTGTTTGCATAGATGGTTTTGTGATACGATAGCTCTTCATCGTTCAATCTAATAATAAAGTCCAAAGTGCGCTGCTTCATCGACTCAATTTTGATAGTTGACATTATAGTAAATATTTTAGTAGATTTTAGTATGGTGTAGTTAGTTAGTTTCTTTAAGTAGAGTTTTCTAAGTGTTCCAATTATTACAAAGCTTGTTTACTTTTTTTTTAAATATATTAGTTATAGTATACGACTTTGCGTTTTTGTCTCTGTCGTTCTCCTAGTTTTGGTTTTATAAGGCGGAAAAGCTTAAGGATATTACCCTCACGTACCTTATAAAAACTCTGTAATCTGCATCTTGTGAGTTGATTGATGTATATATAGGGTCGCGTATATGTGTGAGAGCTTCCTTTACTTTGAAAAACAGAAACAAACATCAAGGGGATTTTACATAGAATTGTGACGTGTGATGAAAAGTGGATTCTAATCCATAATCACAACAACGTCCTTAAGTGATGGTCACACATTTAAAGTAATTTACTATTACTACTGTTTGGTGGTCACTTCATGGTCTATTAAATATAGCAGATGTCTATTGTTAAGAACTCGAACAATGTTGGAAGTGATTACACTCATAGAAACAATTATGACTCGTCAATCGATCACCGCCATTTATTCTCCATTATAACGCAATAGAATTCTTCAAATCTGCAATTAGAAACCAAACATCATCTGCACTCACCAGACCAACCAAAAATTGTTCTTAGGAAGCGGTGAAACTGTCTTCATTAACTTTGTTGACTCGTAACATGAGTCCAGATTACCAGTGTTCTATCTCAAAAGCATAAATAATCTTCCCTTTGGATGGTAGAAATTTGCAGATAATGAGAGCAAATACTTCAATTAAATAATATTTTTCTAATATAAAACCACCATTTCATACTTTCCATCCACCCATGTATTACAGTCTAAGACCACAGCTGAACGTAGGCCTCCCCTACAGATTTCCTGATAGGGGTTATTTTGCCATAGTTGCCAAGCTTGGCAGGCATTTTTTTTAGTTGTTATCAAGAATATGCTGCACTTAAACACCTAAAAATAAAACTCTTAAAAACATGTTTAGAAATTAGTAATTAACAAAGGTGAAAATGTTATCCCCTAAAAACAATATCTTTTAATACATAGGGCCACGTTATTTGGTACCTTAGACGTTTGTTCCCAGCTAGCTATTCGACTATATTTTTCAACTTTCAAGCTATTCGATTATATTTTTAAAGTGAAAACGACTTTTGTAACGTTGGGGATTTTTGGTTTGAGAATAAAAGCACTGAACTGGCGTAACCGTCACGCACAGTACATAACATTGATAAAAGGAATGTTGAAAATCCAATTGATAAAATTTTATTTTGATATGTATTTATAAATTTGTTTGTATTATTTATTATATTATATAATAATCATAATTTTTCATGTAAAACAGCGCAATAAATGATTTTTTTATTTTAATACGTTGATAAAAATAATTGCTAATAAAAATACTTCCTAAAAAATATTTCTTACGAGTAACAATCAAAAATAATGTTGACAAGTTTGTGAAGTTATAAGTTTTCATTTTTGACGTGCAGTCCTATGACTGACAGTTTTGTTTTTGCAATTCTTCCAAGGTTAATTCCAACTTTGTTAATTTTATTACGCCCTTTTACAACGGCAGCAAGGCCAGCTTGGCTTGTATGCATACTGTATATAAGTATGCATGTATTTATTTTATGTAATTTTATAATTCAGTTTTCACCTACTTCGGGACATCTGAACAGATTAAAAATTTAACCTTAACTTATTATAGTCATCAAAGCGTGTTGTTTAAGTTTTTTAAAACTCAACATTTAATACGTTTTTGTGTATAAAAAATACGTGTCACAATGTTTATAATTCTTAATGAACTCCGAAACCACTTAACCGATTTTAATGAAATTGCGATAAATGACCCTAAATCATATAGAACAAAGGATCATCGGTAAGGGCAGAATAAAGTCTGCCTGGCCACCTAATATCTATAAAATATTTTCACTGTAGTCCAATAGAAATAAGTTATATTAATCCAATTATGATTTACTTTAGTTCTTATTTTTAAATAATTCAATTATGAATAAAATTAGTCTTTACCTGCTTTACGGAAATCCATTACATATTATATTTGAAGCTCTTCAAACTAAGTAAGTCTAATCACTTTATTTTATTACGGGGATTGTTGTAAATTAATTTTTAACATATCTAATGATCCAATTACTTTTGTTTTATAGTGTGATGTATGAAAGTTTTATTGTTAATGTAAACTTTACATACGCCCAATCTTTTTAAGTATAAGTTAAGCGCCATACATGCTTTGACAGAATTTCCATTGCACACCAAAATTTTCTCATAGGTTTTTTAAATAGGCAAGAGACAAGTCGACAAAGTTTAGGATAAAGAATTTGAATTCATATTAGAATTAGTTTGAATATTTCCAAATTAGTAAATAATATACAAAAGTTAAAACTGTATACTAACTAAATGATCCCGTGATATTGCCTCTCCCTTGAAGCCGCAGCAGCAAGACTTGAATGTCCATCTTATATTTGCCATTAAATTCTAATTTTGGCAACAGAAGTTTGAAATCGAAACGATTGTTGTCCAAATCAGACCTGAAATGATAATTTTAAAGTGAGTATTCGACTACGGCAAAGATAATATGTATGATATTACATAATGGAAATAAGTAAATATAATATAAGGTATATAGAGAGCGCTGCCTCGTTGGTCTAATGGTTGTAGAGTGCGACTGCTGATCATGAGGTCGAGGTACAAGTTCGAATCCCGGGTCGGGCCACAAAATATCCGTTATTGAGTTTTTCCATAAATAAATTCTCAATAGCTGCCCGGAGTCAGGAAGTTGGCGGTGTCTCACCCCCGTGCCTCGGAAAGCACGTAAAGGCGTTGATCCTGCGCCTGATCTCTGTCCAGCCGCGTCCGTTTTCCATCACATCGGACCATGAGAATTATATTGTTATAGAGAGCGCACTGTCAACATAATGTTAAGCGGATGCAGTGGCCCACAGACCCCGACATATATCTTTGATTTAGAATCAAAATGCAGATGCATTGTCACTCTTGAGGCTTAAGATGGAATGCTTCGTTACCAGTAAAAAGGCTGTCCATTTTAAGCCACTCATCATTAAACATAGCAGCATTACACTGTTTCACACTTGCTCTTGTAATGTGACATATATCTGTTATAACAACAAAACTACTTAAATAATAATATCATCTTAACTGCACCGTTGATAGCTTTAATTATATTCATAATTTGTCATCATCGAAGCATATGTTTATGTCTGCTTAGCCTAATGGTTGTCGGCAGAGAATGCCTTAAGGCGTTAAGTCCGTCGTATGTACGATGTTTTTGCGCATAAAAGTTTAAATGAATAATAAAATAAATATTTATTAATAAACTAAAAAAATTTTTGTACATGGTAGAGCCATGCTGCAGTTATATTAGTAGTATAGTTGTAGAATGGGTCAGCTTGACCTGATTAGGACCACGCTCTTACAGAATACCAGCGTGAAATGGTAGCTTGATGCTACTGTGTTTCGTATGGTGAGTGTAGAGAACCGGAGACCCTTTTTACTGGAAATGAGGCATTCCATCTTAGTCCTCACTGGTGACAAAGCATCTGCATTTTGATTCATAATCGAGGATAGATGTAGATGTCTATGAGCCACAGTAACCACTTACCATCATGTGGACTGTGTGCTCGTTTGTCACTCTATTCTATAAAAAAAATATAAACCCCAAGGTTTTTCTTGAACAGATTATATATTCATTCATTGATTTTGTGCAATTAAAATAACAATCGACCATGTGGTGGTAGTGTAAGAATACTCACCACCCAATAGCGTCCCATTGGTGCCGTAAGAGACGATAGAGGTAAACAAACCAAAAGCAACGTTTTTCTAACAACATTGGTGGGTATGAATACATAACCTAGCAACATTCATTGGACATAGGAAGAGCAGAGTACCTATAATACACAAATAAAACACAAAACATATGAAGAGTGAAAGCTATAAACAAGTTATTAAATAATACCAATCAATTTAAGTTTATCATATTTAATTAAACATTCTCGATGTTTACCACCTGAGCAGCTGCGAGCAGAACCTGGCATTAAATCTAAAATTAAAAACTTACAGATAGTCTTTAGTACTTAGGCTTATTCCTCGAAGCTCAACATATACCACGAACAGAATAAATGGAATAAACTTAAATATATCGATGAGTTAAGATTTAACCTTATAAATGTTTCATTATTCTCGTAATATGGTAATCGAAAGATACACGCATAGAATTTAATGAAGCTCTATTTCCTATTCTAACAACAACGTTCATTTTCTTTGTTATCATTTTTACACTGCATTATATTGGAGTTGATGATGATGATGATGAATTTAAAGCGTGTTGGAAATATTATAGCGTAACAAATTTACGCGCAAATACATCAGCATATATTTATTCAAAATTAATGGTATCTTAAGGTCTCACGTTGGGATTGGAAATAGACTCGGATTCATATAATAATAACACATCCACTGAACCAAAACCAAGAGTTAAATTAAGTGTGGTGGTGGTGTCGCTAGATCCAGGTTGTTTTCTTAATTTTTCTGGGGGTAGTATTGGCTATATGGACTGTGGCAAAACGACTAATTCTCATTAGTTCAACTGATTGGAACAATCCTTGAACTAATTAAATTAATCGAATAAAGAAATAAAATATAAGTATAATTATACATGAGGGTAATGTAGTCACCTAAAGCTTTGCCGCCATACAAAATCAAAACTAGATTGAGGATAGATACAAAAACACAAAGTCGTGTACTACAACTAATATATTAATTAAAAAATAGCAGATAAGCTTTGTAAATAATTAGGAACACTTCAAAAATCAACTTAATAAAAGCTAATTACATAACGCCACACTAAAATCGGCTAAAATATTTATTATAATATCAACTGTTTAAGTGGCGTCGATAAAGCTGAGTCCTTTTGACTCTTTATTATTTGATTGACTGATGAAGATCTATCGCACCATATAGCCTTCTATGCAATAAGGTTGTTTTTTTTTTTTTTTTTTTTTTTAATATTGTAATATTAATTAATTACTAATATTCCTAATAAGTTTTTGAGTTACAAGAATGTGATCATTTTAACCAGAAGACCATAATACCCTCACGTACCATACCACGTTTTTCTAGGGGGAGATATACTCCTCCCAGAATAGAATAGTGTCGTTAGCATCAGCAAAGTAAAGATTTTAGTCTTAGTGCAGTACTCCAATACACAAGTGAGTAGTTTTTACCTGGTAGAGCTATGCTGCAGCTATATTGTGGTTGCAGCATGAATGGGTCGACTCGACCGGGGAAGGATCACGCTCTCACACAATACCAACGTAAAATAGCAGCTTAATGCTGCTGTGTTTAGTATGGTGAGTGTAGAGAACCGGAGATCCTTCTTACTGGAAACGAGGCATTCCATCAGTACTCAGAGCTGGCAATGCATCTGATTCGTGATTGAAGATAAATGTAGACGTCTATGGCACACAGCATTCACTTACCATCAGGTGGACTGTGAGCTTGCTTGTCATCCTTATTGAATAAAAAAAAGATTATAAAATATATTTTTGTTTCTAGAATGATTTCTGAAGTTAAACTTTATTATTCTAGTTGATAACAATATCCTATGTCTATTAAATAATTGTCCAGCACAAGTAACTCTCACGTAAAAATGATATAAATTAAGACATAGCAATTCGTTACAATAACATTACGGCACGTGCAAATTAAAATAAAGCCTGTTACACACCGGTAGATTTGTAAAAATATATCTTGTGCACTTTCGTTAAATTTATATTAATGCTAATTTTAAAATAAATTTAACATAAAAATCAAAATATAAAAAGATAATCCCCTAAAGATAATAACTAGAAATTCTTAACTTATTTACTTAGTGATTTATTCATTACAGACTGTTAAAACTTTTTTTCACTGCTGAATATAACCCCCCCCCCCCATCCTATAGATTGCCTCATACCGTGCCTCATTACTACATTCATGAGGTAATAAGAGATAGTGAAATATGGTATGTTGCCACTACATCGACTAAGCGAATTATAGTTATATAGAGTTACATAGATATCTTACTTTAGCTCTTCGATGATAAAGTTGCTTGGACCTTGCACTTTTACGTCATTCACGACTGCAGTCAGCTTGGCACCTTGCGGACCACGTGCAAGAGCAATTTGACCCAAACTCAAAGGTTCTATGCCTGGGACATCCAACTCTGGAATGCCCTGAAATATGTAAAAGATCAAACATGTATATTTTAGCAGCTACATAATATATACATTAAACAAACAATAGGTAATTTGACTTTGTTATATAAATCGCTGCATATATGAAAACTCTCGGTTTAATATATTGTTACTTGTTATTAATTAGTAGTTTACAAAAAAGTGAATATGCTATTGTAACCTAAAATAAAAATAAAAAGCTAAGAAAGGCTATTGCACGAAATTACTCTATACAAAATAGAGCCCGTAAAGATTAAACCCGCAGCAGAAGCAAAGTAACTGACTCTTTCGTTTTCTTCGTTTTCCTAGTCGTAGGTCATGAGCACGACTTATAGTCGACGACTTAATTATTCAAATTAGTTATTAAAACTAGTACAGAAATGAATCTCACATAACTTTTAACCTAAACAATTTAATAAACACAAAAAGGGATTGATTTTTTTATTGTAGCAAGTTATACGTTGCAGAGCCACGGTGCTGCTATGTTATGATTGTAGCACGAATGAGTCGGCTTGACCGGGGAGGATCACGCTCTCACAGAATACCAGCGTGAAAAAGTATGGTGAGCGTATAGAACCGGAGACTCTTTTTTACTCAAAACGCGGCATTCCATTTTAGTCCTCAGGGATGACAACGCATCTGCATTTTGATTCATAATCGAGGATAAATAGGGATTGTCTATAAGCCACATCGTCTACTTACCACCTACATTATCAGGTGGACTGTGTGCTCGTTTGTCATACGTATCCTATAAAAAATAACTCTGCGTAGCTTTTGATAGAAACCATCTCGAAACATCAGTCAAAGAAAACGCCAATTCTTTAGTAATAAAACGGTCAGTAGGTCGATGTTGAAATTAATTTATACTTTTACGAGCTTCAACAACATGCAATTTATCGTAAATAAAAACAAATGTACCTATGAATTATAATGCACGATGCAGATCACTGTTTGTTGACTTTTTCCTCTGCAAGCATGTTGACATACATACCTTGCTTGTTACGAAACCTTCCTGACATTGACACGCTTACTATTTGCCCGCAAAAACTATATCAAACAAAGCTGCAATAGCAGGTTTACACTTCTGTCTCTTTAACTTTAAAATTTTTAAATATTTACTTTACAAATCCAATAAAGACAATCTGTGTTTTCTAAGCATTTTTTACGTTATTATATGAAGTGTAGGTGGATGAGACCCAATCGCGAAACTTATGTAAACGGATTAATTAAATAAATATTATAAAAACACATATAACATTATTTTCTTCTTGATTAAGATTATTAAAATAGAATATTAAACAATATGTGTCATTCTTACAATTTAACGCTACGTTATAAAATAAAAATATAAAATCTGTTTAATAATATGCAGCCCCTACATAACATTTTTAGGAAGGTTACGTTAGGTAACATACACTTATCCAAAACAAACCAATTGTTAGGTGGTGTAACATCAATTGTAATTACAAACGAAAAGTAAGAGGATATCCTATCATAGCAATTTACGCGAAGAAACTTAGCGTATGTATTATAAATTAAATTGTGCAATAGAGAGTAACATCCTTGAACATCATTATTTCTCACCACTTTAAATTTACAATTTAGATTTTGACAGAAATTCAAGGTAAGTGGGGGCGAAGCTGGACTAGGCGGCGAAACTGTGTTTCACATCATCAAGTCTGCTAGATGACACAATTCAAAATAATTTGCTTTGGCATTCAAATTTTATTGACAGTGGTATAGGAATCGTTCAATTGTGGTAAGTACACAATCAATTAATCTTGACAGAATCTTGAAAAAAAAGAAAGAAAGAAGAAAATAAATTCGTAGGTCTTAGTTGTTTATACATACTTGAAATAAAGAAAGAACATAAGAAAAGAATAATATGTAAGTCCATTCTTAATTCCCGCGGCAAAAAAATTATGAATAAATAAAGCCAAAATGCACTTTGCTGTATTTTGTAACTGCTTGATCAAAATATTTACTTTTGCAATAGTACCATTTATTGAGATGGAAGTTAAACCGCTTACGGAGGAGGACACACTTAAGTCAAAAATGCTTTAACACACGACAATAAAAAATAGTTGTGCGTCATTGATGTCAAAGTATGTCATTTTAAATACATGTAAACAAAACAAATGTTAGCGCACTTTAAAATTAAATTCATACAAATATAAACATTATTCCTTAGCCAAGAGAACATAATTTTCTTATAAGCAAACAAGTAGCTTATCAAAAGAGTCTTAGAAATTAATAAAGCACTACGTGCCTTCACGGACATCGATAAAAATTAACAATGGAATAGCAGTAAATGATGGGGACCTGAGTAATTCAATCGATCAACTTTATATATAAAAGGAATGAAATTCATTTTGTAACAGGATTCCTTTATTTAAATATGGGCTGCTATCAAGTGGCATTGTTTGTGGCTTTGGCGCTTATTTTGCAGGTAAGATATATACATGCATATAAACTGCTTTATTTACTATATGTACGAACTATTATATTAATAAATCAATAACTGAAAACTCGCGGAAATATTTATTTGTAGAATATACTCTATGTAATGAAAATTTAAACTATATTATAATATAAATTTTATCTTACAGCGTCACCAACTTCTAGCAGATAACTGCAATAATAGAAAAACATTTATACAAATTAGGGTTCCACAACGCACTGTGTTCTCTTTTAGGTATCCTAAAGAAATAAATACTGTGCAGTTAGTACCATTTCCTAATAATCCATCTAGATCTGAATGCATAAAATGTCAAGGGACAACTTGCAATAAATGTACATATACAAAGAGCGCTAAACATTCTTCAACAACAAATGTAAGGAAAACAAACATTATCATTGATATAAGGGGAACAAGAAAAATTAATGATACTACTAGTGAAACTACCAGTAAAAATTACAACAATACATCAGAAACTGTAGATGGTACTATTGTTGGAATATATGACAAAACATGGGCAGCCAGCAAAAGTGGTGCAACCGCAAACACTGGAGAAAAAGGGAATTCCTCTGCTGCAATAGCAGCTGGTAGTACACTATCGCAAAGTGATATATTGGCTGCACTTAATGAAGAAGAAATCAATAAATCTAATGGTGAGCAAAGTCATGTAGAGGATATATTCGTTATTAGCGAAGATGGCTCGGCAGCAAACGCAAGCAGTAGTTCAATCGCAACTAAAGGTGACTCTGCAAACGATGGAAAAGAAGCCAGTGGTACGCAACCTTCTAATGGTATGAAACCAGGAGAACCCAAACAAGATTCCTCTGATAATGTTCCAGCAGTATCTCCATCTCCACCAGATGTACCAAACTATCCAAGTAGCGGAGGAAATCCAGCTTTAAAACAACCGTCTGCTGGTAAAAATATAAATAAGAACCCAAAAGATGAGTCAAGTAAAGACAAGCCAAATGGATTATCTGATTCAAAAAAACCTGAATCTGATAGTGCGAAAAATAAGCCAGATTCCACAGCTGACGATAAAAATACACCTGCTCAAAATGGAGCGGCAACTGCTGCCCACCCTGAAAATCCTGCTTCACCTGATACAATAAGTCCTATATCTGATAGTGTGAAAAATAACCCAGATTCCATAGCTGACGATAAAAATACACCTGCTCAAAATGGAGCGGCAACTGTTGCCCACCCTGAAAATCCTGCTTCACCTGATACAATAAGTCCTATATCTGATAGTGTGAAATATAAGCGGATTCCAACGATAAAAATACTCTAAAGGTTGCTTACTGATACATAAGTCCTGTATCTGATAGTGTGAAAAATAAGCCAGATTCCATAGCTGACGATAAAAATACACCTGCTCAAAACGAAGCGGCAGCAGTTGCCCACCCTGAAAATCCTGCTTCACCTGATACAATAAGTCCTGTATCTGATAGTGTGAAAAATAAGCCAGATTCCATAGCTGACGATAAAAATACACCTGCTCAAAACGGAGCGGCAACTGCTGCCCACCCTGAAAATCCTGCTTAATTTTCTACTTTTATGTCATTGTACATTTATATGAAATCCACCAAAATATTCTTATCATTTTCAACCTACCATAGTCTAAATATTAAAGTATTAAATTTTTCAATTCAATATTATATTTTACAAACGACTAATAACTTTGTAAATACAGTAAACAAAATATGATATACATAATATGAAATTAAAATTATTGAGTCAATTTACATAATTTTTACCTTGATCATCTTGGGTCGTAACTCCTCAACTGAGTTTATGATACACTTGTCCACATTTGGATCATTTCGCTGACAAACCTTGATGTAGGAAGCTGAAACGGAAAAAAAACATTATGTAAATTGGACATTATATGCAGCAACAACATTGATTTTTCATTTGGTTATTTAAAATAAATTATCTGTGCTTTTATCACTTAATTCTTATAAGCTTGTATTAATTTGAAATAAAAACTACATTGGTATTTCATGTCAATGATTTTTGATTTTTTATGGCATTCCATTTAATCAAAAGTAATTTTATACGTGATTTTTTATTATGGGGTACTGGTTACAATGGGACGACCTAACTTTATTTTATTTTATTACTTACATATAATTACAATCATAATTATAAACAATACAAAGGATAAAACGGGTAATCACTAGCCCTAATAGTATATATATCTATACATATTCTTATAGCTTACTGAAGATATGAAAAGCATAATATAAAAGTTAATATATCACTCAATTTGGAAATTTAAATACAGGTTGAGTGACAAAAAAAAGGTCGTTAAATTCCTTAGTTCACTTGATGTAAAGTGATCAACGCCATGATCCTTATCCAACGCAATGAGGAAGGATTTTTTCTTTAATTTGCTATACATATAGGAATTCGGAAACAAATGTCTCGCCTTGGAGCTCTAGAAGGAATGGAGAGATTATGAGGCGAGAAAGAAACAATATGGTGTTCTATATATATATATATATATATATATATATATATATATATATATATATATATATATATATATATATATATAATATGTAACGTAATTAACGCACACCTTTAGACACCCCAATTAGTATATTATGATATAATCATAATAAATACTTACTACTACTACTACTACTACTACTACTACTACTATACTACTAATTATTTATCAAATTAGTTATACTAATTCCGGAAAAATGTTGTGGTCACAGTACAAATCCACGAACGCAAAGACACTGCTTGGAATAAAGTTCATTTTTCTTTATTTTTATTGAATGACAGAATTAGTAATAATACAAATAAAACTGCACTCTTAAAAGTCTTATTGCCTTAAGTTACGGTCCATTTCAGTTTGTTTTGACTGTACAGATTTAGTGTGACTGTTATTTACGTAGTTTTAATTATTTTTGGAATAAAAAATTACCTATATTAAAAATGAGAGGAATCGATTCAGTAAACGATTCTGAACAAACTACTTTCTCAAAGTTTTACGTGGTAGAGCCATGCTGCAGGTATATTAATTGTATAGTTGTAGCACGAATGGGTCGGCTCGACCGGGGAAGGACCACGCTCTCACAGAATACCAGCGTCAAATAGCAGCTTAATGCTGCTGCGTTTCATGTGGTGAGTTTAGAAAACTGGAGACTCTTTTTTACTGGAAAAGAGGTATTCCATCTTAGTCCTCAAGGGTGACAACGCATCTACATTTTGATTCGCAAACGAGGATAGATGTAGATGTCTATGGGTCACAGCAACCACTAACCATCAGGTGGACTGACTCGATTGTCACCCCTTTCCTATAAAAAAGTGCGTTAATTACGTTACATATTGTATATTTAAAATCTTGTCTTTATCGTTCCTTGAAGAAGAAAAGCATCCAAATAATGCACAATATACAACTATCGTAGTGAAAAGCACAATTATAGGTATCTATCTTTTAAATTGTAAAACCGTGTGTACGCGTCAGGTTCGTTCGATCGCGCGCGCCCTCGTTCATGTGTCAGTGTTGTCTACCATGAAATGGGGGCGGGGGGTGCAATATTTGAAATGAGTGCGGGGAGGTGAGTAGCCGTTCTGTACGTTGTACTATTATATATTATTATGAATTCTGTACTCATATTAAAAGATCTCTTTTATTGTGGATTTAAAACTACGAAGCACATATCATAACATGGATGCCATACTTAGCGTCTAAATTCAAGTACGCTGCATACGATTTCTTACATTCGTGTATAAATTATTAATATTTGCAACTTTCTAGTTCAGTCTTTAGCCTAACTTTCCATGTTTAGGCTACTTTCAAGTAATAATCTACCTATTGAGCAAAACAATAACTTACGTGATGACAACGTTCTACGTGCTACGTCCTTGCCCTAAAACCTGCTCATAAATGAGAGATTTTAACTTTACTTTACAGAGGCTGTAACTTTAAGACTACTACATTAAAAAAATAAAGTGGGCACAGGCTCCCTTTCCTTCTCTTCTCGTTACGTTGGCCCATAATATATTTCTCATGCATTGAGCTTTTCTTATAATGTATTTTCCTTAAGAACATGTTGATATGAAGTAACTATTTATCTAATTACAATAGTTAATGTACTGATATAATTACGTATTAAGATGAAAAATATAAAATGGTGAGTATAAAGCACGCATTTAGTAAAAAAATTTGGTATGCTCACAAATTTTACCATTTGAACAGTTACCACCCGATTATCACTTTCTGACGTTAATCAGCAACTGTTACAAACTTCACAAAGAGCTGACATTCGAATACGTAGCTCACGTCTCGTTTATGAGTTTCAAACTCTCGCTTGATGTATCCATGGCAGCACTTGTTAATATATTTTAATAGGATAAGGGTGACAAACGAGCACATAGTCTATGATGATTGTAAGAAGAGGTGTAAATGTCAATGTCAAATGGGGTATACCCCATAGACATTTACATCTCTCCTCGATTACGAATCAAAATGCAGATGCGTTGTCACCCGTGAGGTCAAGATGGAATGCCTCGTGTCCATTAAAAAGGATCTCCGGTTCTCTACACTCACCATATGAAACACAGCAGCGTAAAGCTGTTATTTCACGCTGGTATTCTGAGATGTTTGTCTGGAGATTTTGAGTTTTGTCGGAAGTCTGGAGATCATTTAAAATGTCGGGAGAATCCAGATGAATGCCGACCATCTGGCAACCCTAAGGCATATGGCCATCGCAATCGCGTAGCCTTCTTTGTTTGAAGTTGCAGGAAGAATGTGTCCATGTGCTGCAATAGTCAATTACTATCAGGTGGACTAGAAGTACGCTGTAACTACAGTTTTATAAAAAAAACATTTAAATGTTTGGAAATTAACAGTATTTTTATTTTATTTAATCTGCTTTCCTAATTTTGACGTTTTTAGAGTAGAATTTTAAATTATTATCAATAATTATAAAACCGTTTAATGCTTTAGAATTTGTTTAATACTTATATGTATTTAACAAAAATATTAACGATAACAATAAATACAAAGGACTTACGTCACGGACGTTAAAAATATTAACTTATTTTTGTATTACGTAGCAATTAAGTTTCAATTCAATTTCATTTTCACCGGCTCAATACCGCAGAGGTTAAGTTTACCTGCAGCGGCGCTTTGAATAAATTCCTGTCAGTATAACTACCGCGCGTTGGTTGGTTCACGCACTGAATATTTTTAGATATGGCATTACTATTTTATTTATTTTATTTTATTTTAACTCTAATTACATTTAATTATTTTTTTCAGGTAATACATATAAAAGTAGAAGAGAAGGCGACTTAAAAGTTTTCACAGACAGAATTGAAACGGTTAACGTATAACAAGATCATGTAAAATAATAATAAAAATAATTAACTTTATATATAAATTCCGATGATATCCCGGACGTCAGTCTGAGCGAGATTAGAATAGCTCTACAGCACCTAAAAAACGGCAAGTCCCCCGGCCAGGATGGAATTAGAGCGCAGCTTCTGTAAGCGGGTGGAAAAGACGACACATTGGGTGCGTTTGGCAGAAAAAAGCGCTAGCAAGCGCTTACAAGCGCTGAAATAGTTTTCGGCCAGGACACGATTACTACTTCAGTAGCGCTGATACAATCCGCCATTTTGCTTATTTAATTTGTTTGTTTTAAAGTAGAGTTTATAAGTTTATTTGTGCAATATTAGTTTTAAGTAATATAATAACGTGAATAAACATATACGTAGGCGGTCCCATAATGAATTGGCCTAACTATGAACCAATGAAGGAAATGAAACGAAACCAATTTTATTTTTCAATATAATCACCATGAATACTAACACACTTCTGACATCTGTGAATCAACATCTCTAAACCTTTATAAAAATAATCACATTTTTTATCCTCAAAATGACTGAAGACGGCCGCCTGCAACTCTTCATCGCTTGAAAATTTTCTTCCTCTTAAGTCCCGCTTTAAATTTGGAAATAAATAATTATCGGACGGGGCCATGTCTGGACTGTAAGGTGGATGTTGAACTTCTGTGAACCCGCATTGACGAACTGCATCCTTCGAAACACCAGCGGTATGAACAGGGACGTTGTCATGGAGCAACAGGACACCTTTAGACAGCTTGCCTCTTCGTTTTTCCTTTATCTTGTCTCTTAATTTATATATTAAAGAAGCATAATATTCGCCGTTCACGACTGTATTACGTTCTTTAAAATCCACCATCAAAATGCCTTGAAAATCCCAAAATATTGTGCACATCAGTTTTTTAGTCGATTGTTGCACCTTTGCCTTTCTAGGGGGCTTTTCACCCTTATAACGCCATTCCATTGACTCGCGCTTGCTTTGTGGATCATAATACAAGATCATAGTTTCATCACCAGTCACTAGCCGCTCGATCACAGTCTTTGGATTTTCGCCACAAAGATCCAAAAACTCCGAAGCGCAGCGCACTCTTTCCTGTCTCTGTACCGCTGAAAGAAGTTTCGGTAACCAGCCTTGCTGCAATTTCTCTAATCTTCAAACGGCGGTCACTCAGAACCTC